GGCATAGAGTGCGTCGCGTCTAGACACCATAACAACATCGTGGCCCGCAGCAAATTAACACCCAGGATAACGCGCAGGTTGATGGGCCCAGCGACCCGCCGCCTCTCATACACTCACCCACGGCTGCACTGCTCCCCCTTCCACCACGGTTACTACCACAGCGAGGCTGCACCATCATATTGGCTCTACCACATCTCACCACAGTTGCGTGGATGGTGCACCTCATGCTTCACCATGTATGAACCAGCTGCCTGGTGATCACCAGCACCACCTGGCCCAGTGTTACTTAACTCTTCCCCCACTGAAGACAATTATTGGCTTGTCCGCACGTACACACGAAGGCTATAAATTCCCCGCCCACTACCCCGCCGTTTCCCTCCCTCACCCGCCAACCCGTCTGCATGTTAAAATTCCCACAGTGGCGGGTGACCCAAGGAGTTATCAGTGGGCAATCTGAAACGAACAGTAGCTTGGTAGGTCAAAGATGGTAATTACGACGGTGTTTGCCCCTAGCACATCATGCTCGGTCGGCCCACGCAAGCCCTGGGCACAGCAAGTGGTGGTGCAGCCGTGTAACTGAGCACCGCCTTGACCACCACCAGCCAGCCTCCACAGTAGCCGTATAATGGCAGTAGAGGGCCAACATTAGCCTTGTGGCAGAGCCCAGCAGGTGGGAGAGGCCTGAGCTCCGTCGACAGGGCTCCCACTAGTGGTCGACTAGGTATTTCCGGAGTGACGTCACCAGCCCCGTCAAAACATGCCACCCACTCCAGCCCCGACGACGGAAATTATTGCCAAGACACACACACACACACACACACACACACACACACACACACACTCTCTCTCCCTCCAGGTTTTTGTGTGTACCATCTTCACACTCCATACATGCTAGAAAGTAATAAATCACACCGAACACCCACGTCACCTCTTGCCTGTGAACGTGAGTTTCAGCCGCGTGTTGTGCTAACAGTGTGGTGGACGGTAGTTATCAGTCTCACTAACAGCACAGGAGAATGAGAGTCGGCCCATTGTAACGTGTGTGAGTATGTGAACAATGTTTGAAGCAAGAAGTGTTGCCGTTCACGCCCCACTGTGTTGGCTGGAGGCGTGAGTCACCCTGGGAGAAATGGTTCATGTCATGGCGGCTGCCACACCTCCTTCCTCACGCCAGGGGAGAGGGTGGGAGGAGGAGGCGCCTCATGGACACTACACCTTGCTCACGTCACACCTACACGGCTCACATTGACGTCACAACTACAAGTGCCTTTGTCCGGAGTCATCGCTCTTGATGATATGAGTCGATGATGTCCTCTGCTGCACTTGTCCTGTGTTCAACCGGGGTGAGTGATGAGTTTATGAGTTGTGTGTACTGGACTTGTTTAATCTTAGAAGGTCACCACTTGTTTCTCAAAACATAAATGTTAAGGTCGGACACGTCAGATACCAACACTTCAGATGTGTACTACAACGTTCTTATTGATTCATAAACGACTCCAGATGAGTGAATCACTAGCGGTTACACACACACACACACACACACACACACACACACACACACACACACACACACACACACACACACACACACACACACACACACACACACACACACACACACTTACATAAGCAGTACCTCGTTCATTTTTCCTGGGTGATAAAGACAGGAACGGAGTGTCACCACAGTAGACATTATATAAACCCAAATGGAAAGTAATTTATAACTCGATACTTAAACACCAGGAGACGCTCTGAGTGTTTAATGAGATCTTGAAACGACGTTTTTGTGCGTAATATGAGGGAGTGCTTGTGATGTGGGCCGAGATGACTCACACCGACCCTACGGCGAGCTGGGGCCGAGGTACACATCTCCCCGCACCCAAACACACGTAAATCCTCCAACTGGCCAATGACAAGCAGACCTTATGGTTTCTTGCTGCTTTGGCCTTTAAACCCAGCGTCTTTTTGTGGCGTGGAGCATGAGCACCAATATTTTGACAGTCCAGTTACAAGTGCAAATTTTTTCAGGTTGCGTTGACTCACTGCCGAGGTAAAATCTGTAGCGTGACGTTCCATTTATTTGTACATGTTAAAAGTGACCATTTTCTGTTTTATCTGAAACGTGAAATGTCGAAGAGATTTTCCGATTTGTCTTAGTCAAAATGTCAGTGATGTAAACTTTAACTAAAAAAATTTTTGGAGTTTTATTCTCGGCGTAAAATATTATAATTTGTATAAATTATTCGACGTTTATCCAGACCATGAAATATTATAGAAATTTACGATCTCAACATTATGTATAATCTAGAATATTATGAAACTGACATAAAAGAGCTAACTTTCACTTTGTAATCAAAACTTTTGTGTAGAAATCTGCTCAAGGTTTTCACGAAGATCAAGAATGTGTAGCACTGTACTGGGTGTTTATAAATTCCCTTGTCGTGGGTTTACACGCGTCCTTTGAGGAAGTTTCACATGCAAAAACATTCTCAATACGTACACCAACATTTGCCGCACATAACTGTATTCCTCACAATTTCAGCAGTTACCAGAATTGTAGGCAGAATGTAAAGAAGGCAGCGCCGTCTGTGATGTATTATACAGCACTGGCAGCACGTAGAAGGTGTCGCGGGAGACGGGAAGAATACTGTTAGGTGGAGAAAATATGGTGTACTTACCTGTGTGTGTGTGTGTTAAGGGATGAAGTGCAGTGAGCATAAAATATCAAGGAACTTTGTAAGCACATCAGATAACAGCAAACGGCAACTATCCGCATTTCAAATTACCACCAACGTCTACTATTACTATTATCGCAACAAGTACCCGCAAACGTCAATTACCCGCATAGCAAATAACTGCAAATGTTTATTGTCCGCATACCAAGAAACCGCAACGTCAATACTCACACATCAAATAACCTTAACATCAATAACTGCAAACGTCAATTACCCACACATCAAATAACCGCAAACATCATTCAAACGCACATCAAATTACAGCAAACGTCAATCACCCGCGCATCAAATAACAGCAAACGTCCATTATTATTATTATTATATATTATTATACGCACATCAATAACCGCAGCACCCCCGAAATAACCAAAAACGTAATTTATCCAAGTGGTCTGAATCCCCCACGATAATGAAATCTTTGTGTTTGAGTTAGTGTGAGCGACGGTCGGTAGTTTCAAACGGCTCTGAGTGCAGTAGAGTCTCTGTGCACTTCCGACGCCATTTTGATCACTAGTTGAAAGTTGCATCGTTAAACCACAAGTCTTTATGTGTATTTTTCTAAGTTACGTAAAGATATTATTATTATTATTATTATTATTATTATTATTATTTCCAGACAATAGAAATATTTCCAGACTGTGTAGGGATATTTCCAGACTGTAGGATATTAGACTGGGGAATTTCCAGACTGAGGATATTTCCAGACTGTAGGATATTTCCAGACTGTAGGGATATTTACAGACTGTGGGATATTTAAGACCGTTTATGGATATTTCCTGACTGTAGGGATATTTCCAGACCGTGTTTGGATATTTCCACTGTAGGGATATTTCCAGTCTATGTAGGATATTTCAAACTGTGAAAAGATATACGTAGTAAACTGTAGATATATTGTTAAGAATGATATATTAGACTGTGGCGATATATTTCAAACTGTGTATGGATACATTAGACTGGGTGGGGCTATATTAGATTAGGATTTATTAAACTGTATAGGTTATATTAGACACTGTGTATATTAGACTGTAGGGTTATATTAGACTGTAGGGTTATATGACTGTAGGGTTATATTAGACTGTAGGGTTATACTAGACTGTGTAGGGCTATATTAGACTGTAGGGTTACACATTTAACTAGTGAGAATATTATTATAGATGGTGACGGAGGCAGGGGAGGGAGGCTCCCACCAGTGGTACCTGAAGGCTGTTATCCTTTGCCAGACACCAACTGTAAATATTTATCAATGACCTACACAGCACCAGAGTGTGTGTGTGTGTGTGTGTGTGTGTGTGTGTGTGTGTGTGTGTGTTCCCGCTGGTTGGAATAGGGTGTGTGTGTGAGTAAAATAACAGGAAAACAAGCGCTTATATTAGTGAAAGTGAGTTTCATAGGCCTCACTACCTGTTAAGAGGCACATTAGACTTGAAGGTAAAGATTACCCCCAACCCTCACACACACACACACTATTTCTCTCCTCACATACTTCTTATTTCGTCTTACTAATATGCCAGTAACATTCTGCTGCACGATGTTATATGTCGTTAATAACACTTATCCCGGCTTACACGTCCTAAGCTTAGTAATGTACAGGTTAACTAATGGGAGTGTAGACTAAAACGGCCGTGTTTAGTGGATGGACAATGGCGCGTCGTGTTTTCCCGAAGTTGATGCTAAACATGTTATTATACTGTCGTGTAAAACATGAGATAACAGAGCTATTAATAACCACTGACGCACAAAAGCTAAAAATATTATCTAGTAGTGAGTTAAGTATTCAGGTCACAGTCAAAACTACCATCTATACATATTGAATATTACAGCACCAGTACGACGATTGACAGCTGACTCGATAGCTGGGTGAGGTGAGGAGGGCGACCCAGCTGCAGCGTGTTGGTCGCTGAGGTTAGATTATGTTACGATTCGTCTTAGTTACACTCAACCTTGTTCAGGATCGTCAGTACTGCAGGTAGAGTGAATCCGCGGCATCGACCTATGATTGTGTTCTGACCTTCTGTCTTGATTTATTTAAGAAGTAAAAAAGATGGTGCCACAAGTCTTCAATGATAGATTCAATGGCATATGAAATTGGCAGAGTGTGTGTGGGGGGTGAGGGTATGGTGAGGTGGTACTGCATGAGCTGGTGTAAATATGGTGTGTGTAGTGTAGTGAGGGGTTGTAGTATAGTGGGAGGTGGTGTAGTATGGTAAAGTGTAGCTTGGTGAGAAGTGGTGCACGATGAGGAACAGATCTACAGGAGGTACTGACCTGGGGGTGGTCCTGTGCGGTGGGCGGGCGAGAGGAAGCGGTCTCTGGCTCGTTGCTGTGGGCGCGTGTCGGCAGCTCCTTCCCTCCTTCACTCTCTGTTAACACACACAACACTCTGGTTACCACGGACTACACTACACTGTACACACACAGCACCGTATATACAATACTACTAATAAAAACATTTTAAGAAACAAATAAAATATATTTGATGCTTCCTGCCAAGGGAAGTATTTCTCATATAATTATGCCGGTAAACACTAAGAAACAGTGAGCCGAAAAGATTACCAGCATCATATTTATTATAGTATAGTGTACACAACTAGGTAAGCCTCCTACAGTGTCCTGACTTTAGTTGCATCTGAAATGTGGCTGGTAATGTTATGCCTCTGTAAAATAACAAATACATAAATTAGAAGCTGTTATACACAACACGTAATGTACATTTGTGCCACAGTTGTTATACACGCCGGAGTCCCTAGAGGATGGTGATGTATGGCCCAGGTGTGTGGTCTACCTGAGGCACTGACATCACGGTGGCACCTGAACAAGTAAAGTTTGATGTGTGAAGACAAGACCTGACACCAGTAGTCCCAGAATAACCTAGGAGGACCGGGAGAAGGCGTGAGAGTGCATCAACATGTGGGTGAGGGCGGGCAGTGGGTGGGTAGTTAGGTAGGAAGGTAGCCAGGCAAGGCAGTAAGGTGCGAGGAACACAAATTGTACCAGCGGGAAGCCACACCAACCTGTCCACCCCAGCCATCCTAACCTCCATCTCACAGTCATTCCCACACACACACAAACACACCGTTTTACTGCTGCGATTCCGACTTAAATAATCAACCTCTGTTTAGTGGATAGGTAAGGTGGGTGGTTTACTCGGTGTGGCAGATGTGAATGGAAGTTTTGGAACAAGGAGCTAGTAGTAGTATAACAGTGGTTGTGGTGGTAGGTGAGGATAGAGGGAAGGAGGAGTGGGAGGGTACAAAAGCGGTGGTGATGACCTCTGAATACCAATACCCAGACGACACAAGTCAACCCTTACCCGCACTATTACGGCGCTCTCCTCCCCGTACCATCACTATTACGGCGCTTCCTCTCTGTACCATCACTATTATGGTGCTCTCCCTGTACCATCACTATTATGGTGCTCTCCCCCCTGTACCATCACTATTACGGCGCTCTCTCCCCTGTACCATCACTATTACGGCGCTCTCCTGCCGAACCATTACTATTATGGTGCTCTCCTCCCTGCACCATCACTATTACGGTGCCCTCCGCACCATCACTATTACGGTGCTCTCCTCCTGCACCATCACTATTACGGTGTCTCCTCCCGCACCATCACTATTACGGCGCTCTCCTCCCTGTACCATCACTATTACGGCGCTCTCCTGCCTGAACCATCACTATTATGGTGCTCTCCCCGCACCATCACTATTATGGCGCCTCCCTGCACCATCACTATTACGGCGCTTCTCCCTCCACCATCACTATTATGGTGCTCTCTCTGTACCATCACTATTATGGTGCTCTCCTCCTGTACCATCACTATTACGGCGCTCTCCTGCCTGAACCACCCACTATGGGTGCTTCCTCCCTGCACCATCACTATTATGGCGCTCTCCCCTGTACCATCACTATTACGGCGCTCTCCTCCCGTACCATTACTATTATGGTGCTCTCTCTCTGTACCATCACTATTATGGTGCTCTCCTGCCTGCATCATCGCTATTATGGTGCTCTCCTCATGTACCTTCACTATTATGGTGCTCTCCCCCTGTACCATCACTATTACGGCGCTCTCCTCCTGCACCATCACTATTACGGTGCTCTCCTCCCTGCACCATCACTATTACGGCGCTCTCCTCTCGCACCATCATTATTACGGCGCTCTCCTCCCTGCACCATCACTATTATGGCGTTCTCCTTGTACCATCACTATTATGACGTTCTCCTCCTTGTACCATCACTATTACGGTGTTTCCTCCCTGCACCATCACTATTATGGCGCTCTCTCCCTGCACCATCATTATTACGGCGCTCTCCCTGCACCATCACTATTATGGCGCCTCCCGCACCATCATTATTACGGCGCTCTCCTGTACCATCACTATTATGGCGCCTCTCCCTGCACCATCACTATTATGGCGCTCTCCTCCCTGCACCATCATTATTACGGCGCTCTCCTCCCTGCACCATCACTATTATGGCGCTTCCTCCCGCACCATCATTATTACGGCGCTCTCTCCCTGCACCATCACTATTATGGCGCTCTCCTCCTGCACCATCACTATTATGGCGCTTCCTCCTGCACCATCATTATTACGGCGCCTCCTCCCTGCACCATCACTATTATGGCGCTCTCTCCTGCACCATCATTATTACGGCGCTCTCTCCCGCACCATCACTATTACGGCGCTTCCTCCCTGCACCATCACTATTATGACGTTCTCCTCCTTGTACCATCACTATTATGACGTTCTCCTTGTACCATCACTATTATGGCGCTTCTCCCCTCACCATCATTATTACGGCGCTCTCCCTGTACCATCACTATTATGACGTTCTCCTTGTACCATCACTATTATGACGTTCTCCTCCTTGTACCATCACTATTACGGTGCTCTCCTCCCTGCACCATCACTATTATGGCGCTCTCCTCCCTGCACCATCATTATTACGGCGCTCCTGTACCATCACTATTACGGTGCTCTCCTCCCTGCACCATCACTATTATCGCGCTCTCTCCCTGCACCATCATTATTACGGCGCTCTCCCGTACCATCACTATTACGGCGCTTCCTCCCGCACCATCATTATTACGGCGCTCTCCCGTACCATCACTATTACGGCTCTCCTCCCTGCACCATCATTATTACGGTGCTCTCTCCCTGCACCATCACTATTATGGCGCTCTCCTCCCTGCACCATCATTATTACGGCGCCTCCCTGTACCATCACTATTACGGTGCTCTCTCCTGCACCATCACTATTATCGCGCCTCCCCGCACCATCATTATTACGGCGCTCTCCCTGTACCATCACTATTACGGCGCTTTCCTCCCTGCACCATCATTATTACGGCGCTCTCCTGTACCATCACTATTACGGCGCTCTCCTCCCTGCACCATCATTATTACGGTGCTCTCCTCCCCTGCACCATCACTATTATCGCGCCTCCTCCCCTGCACCATCATTATTACGGCGCTCTCCCTGCACCATCACTATTATCGCGCGCCTCCTCCCTGCACCATAACGACGCTCACTCTTTTAATCAATGAATGACGCGGGAGAGACGGTTCTTGCAGCTGAATAAATTTGCATATATACGTGCTGTGTGTGTACCAGTGGCCACACACACACACACACACACATACAGATCGATATATAGATAGATAGATTGATAGGTAGATAGATAAACTTTTCGATATCTATTATCTATTCAGTAAAATCATCGTACAACAGCCTGAGAGAGAGAGAGAGAGAGAGAGAGAGAGAGAGAGAGAGAGAGAGAGAGAGAGAGAGAGAGAGAGAGAGAGAGAGAGAGAGAGAGAGAGCTATACTGCACGTCGTCCGGCAGGTAAACTTACAACACAATGGTAAATAATATGTCGATTCAACTAAAGATTAGCTCATGATTGTTAAAAAAAAAGCTTTATTATAGGTGATTTTTTCTTATTCTTTATTCATTTATTTGGTTTTGGTTTTATTGAAGATGGTATGAGGTTTATATTTTCATATTTATTTTATTTTTATTTTAGGCGTTGGGATAGTGAGACGGGCGTGTGAAGGGTGTTGCCTGTCGTCTGAGAACCAAACTGGCGAAATTTGTGGGTGGAGGTGGAGGGGCAGGTGGTGGGTCAAGGTAGGGGCAGAGGCGTGTGAGACAATCAACCTAGACATCAAAACAAAGGGGGTTGTCTTTGTCTTGTAGTTTATCGGAATGTCTGATGATTGGTCGAGAAAGATTTACGAAATTTTGTGAAGTAATTGACATGATTTGATTGTGTGTGTGTGTGTGTGTGTGTGTGTGTGTGTGTGTGTGTGTGTGTGTGTGTGTGTGTGTGTGTGTGTGTGTGTGTTATAGAAGTTAATTTGCTTCATAATCTAAACAGTCATTGTTAAACAGTTCAATTACTTAACAGAAAATAAACAACAATCACACAACAAAACAACAATCGCGCACAAGAAAAAACAATCACGCACAAGAAAAACAACAACAATCACTCAACAAAACAACAATCGCGCACTGATTTTTACGAAATTATTTTAGTGAGGCACGTTAAGATGAGACAACTGGTGGCTGAGAGGAGCTGGGAGTAAGGTGGAGTGTTGGGGTAGGGTGGAGGTGATGGGGTGGGGTGGGGGTGGAGGTGTTGAGGGGGGTGGGTGGTGCGTGTGTTGGGAGTGGGTGGTGCGAGTTGGGTGGAGGTGAGCTGGGAGCAGGGTGGAGTGTGTTGGGAATAGGGTGGAGTGTGTTGGGGTGGGGTGTGCTGGGAGTAGGGTGGTGCGTGTTGGAAGTTGGGTGGAGGTGAGCTGGGAGCAGGGTGGAGGTGTGTTGGGGGTGGGGTGTGCTGGGAGTAGGGTGGGTGTGTTGGGAGTTGGGTGGAGGTGTGAGCTGGGAGCAGGGTGGAGTGTGTTGGGAGTAGGGTGGAGTGTGTTGGGGTGGGGTGTGCTGGGAGTAGGGTGGTGCGTGTTGGGAGTTGGGTGGAGGTGAGCTGGGAGCAGGGTGGAGGTGTTGGGGTGGGGTGCTGGGAGTAGGGTGGTGCGTGTTGGGAGTTGGGTGGAGTGTGAGCTGGGAGCAGGGTGGAGGTGCTGGGAGTAGGGTGGAGTGTGTTGGGGGTGGGTGTGCTGGGAGTAGGGTGGTGCGTGTTGGGAGTTGGGTGGAGTGGAGCTGGGAGCAGGGTGGAGTGTGTTGGGAGTAGGGTGGAGGTGTTGGTGGGGTGCTGGGAGTGGTGGTGTGTGTTGGGAGTAGGGTGGAGGTGAGCTGGGATGGGTGGAGTGAGCTGGGAGTTGGGTGGAGTGTAAACACCGCCTCACCTC